TATCAATAACAATGGGAAGGGTGTCCTACTGTGCACAACCTCAGTAATGGTGGGAGGAGGTGTCTATCAGATCTCAGGGATTTATGGCTGCTCGCTGTGCATGATGGGAAACCCCAGTTTTGAAACTAAATATATGGACAGCAACCATTTGTCCTTCAATCTGCTTCTTCTGAGAAGTAATAGTAGGTAAAACTGCACGGAGAGCACCCAGCAAGTCGGAGTAGCTTAAGACACATGCAGTGTTGCTCTTAAGGCATGTTAGAAGCCAGCATGAAGTCAGTGTCATTAGAACTGGCATGTGGCCCTCCGCCCGACCACATTTCTCCCTTATCTTGTACAATAACTTTTTTTTTTTTGTGGAGGGGGAAAGGTCTACAGGGTGTTCAGGGTCTTACTACTAGATCCAACTCAGAGTGATACCCCCATTTACAGCCTTCCAAGAGCTGGGATTACAGATGCGCGCCACCAAGCCCAGTTTCAGGTGCCATCTCAGCATGCCCTGGGGGCGGGGATCAAGTCCTGGGTACCCTGCGCCTGCTTGCAGGTGCTTTAGTCTGCTGAGGTACTTGAGTGGCCAGCCCTTTGTGAAATAACTTTAAGACAGATGCTTAATGAATTGCAACGGGTCACCTTAACATTAGACTCTGGGTATTAGCACATCAGTATGTTAAGCTATCAAACTTTATTTCTGGTACGACACTGTGCTCCCAAATAGTTATTCAGTTCTTACCCAAGCCAGGCTCCTACACCACATTCCCGCCACCTGGTTCTGACCTTCAATGCAGCCCTTTCCAGTTGGTCTCATGCTAAAGCTAGCAGCAGTGTCAGAGCAGCAGAGCACCCCACGGTGTGGATGAGGTGTCGATGACCGAAGGGTGGAACTCAGGGTCATAGAAGAATTGAGTAAAAGTTCCCTGCTATTTTTGATACTTTGCTCCCATCAGGAACTACACTTTTCACCTAACATGTCTAGGCATTCAAGGGTGACATGGTGACAGAATGCAGATAAGCAGGACTCAGGTTGGCTCATTAATATGACCATATATGGCAGGTCTGACTTGTGGTCTCCCACTGGGGACAGGGACAAAGCTTGTGGCACAGCACATGCCTGCAAGAGCCTCAGTCCACTATGTGGCAACTTTGCTGAACGTGGTATTCCCAGGTTTGCTTTTCTACTGTCATGTTTATTAGTGGAGAAATTCCGCATCCAGGGTAGCAACGCTCTTCTCCTGCCTGGATTGCGCGAAAGCCCATGTGAGCACTCAGGGGTGTTATTGACTTAGATACAGCTCTGCATTAATTAGAAATTACTACACAGGCACAACATCTTTGAGTCAGGACTCGGTGATGATAAGAAAAGTGGCAACTGGTTGACTTGTAATACATAAATCTTTCAGGAGAAATTTATATTCATATATAATATGAGTCAAGATTTTAAGATCATAGTCATTTCAAGATAAAACACCTAGATACAATAGAAAACAAAAAAAAAACAACAATTAAATACTTATTTCAGAAAAATAAGTACTACTCCAAGTAATTCTTGCTTTTCCTTAAGAATAAATCCAAAAATGTTCCATCTTATGCCTAAGATGTTTGATATTCAGACAGTGAGGTTAAACCCACCTGCATATGTTGTAGGGCAGTAATAAGCTTCTCTTCTGGAGGGTTAACAACCTAAGTTTGCAGACCAAAAATTAGAGAAATAGAAGGGCTGCAAGGACAGCCAACACTTTGGCCCTAGCCTTTCAAGGTCAGTGAGGACTCAGGACATAGGAGATCCTATACTGTAACATCATGTAACTCAGTTGTGCCCCAGATTTTCTGATCAAGGAGATTACGGGGCCACAGAGGAATGTGATTGATGATGTAGAGTGTGCCTAAGGAGAGTCATATGGAGAGAAAAATTTCTCTCAGGCTTTCACAGAGAGCACATTGGCCAAGCAATGGCTGTGACTCATCCACATGGCTAACACTGACAAAGGATCTACAAAGTGCAGTACAGGGTTTCGGGATAAGTCCTGAGGGGACTTGACTGACCATATCAGATACAAAAGTTACATTTTTTGTTATAGAGGTCTTGCTTTATTTTGGTCTTAACCATCCAGCAGAAAAGTGTAGAAATGAGGTATGAAAAGTAAAGCGATGTTAATATCCTAGGCTGTGGAAGGCTCAAGTCATCAGATTTGGACATTGCCAATCCTGTGGATAACCCACTACTATTGTGTACTACTGGAATATATTGGAACATTTTGCTAAATTCATGCACCTACAATATTTGGATGGCAATGGAATACCTATCTCTGACAAAACTGAACAAAAAAAGGTGATATAAATGAAGGACAATTTTGTACCTGTATATACAAAATAGTTAGGATAGATATATAACTACTTTCTCCTAATTCAATAAGAAGAAATATCTGTATTAATAGTGTTTGGACAGGATGTCATGTCTGCATCTTGTGCTATGAATGACTACCACAAATACAACAATATGCAATGTATTATTATAATTCTCCTACCAACCTGTTTTGAAGCTGTTACATTGCAATTTTTTTCTCAATAAAATTAATAAAAGAAGAATAAATGCAAACTTTGCCACTTGCTAGACATGTAACCTTCAGCAACATAACTATCTGAATCTGAAAAATGGAGATAATTTTACCATGATATGTGATATTGTTATAAAGCCTGACATGGCCCATTGTATGCAAAATGATTCATCATAGGACTTGACAAATAGGAGGCAAATAAGGAAAAGGAAGTGCTAGTATTACCATTATCATTATTATTATTATTACTATCAACATCATTGCCACCTATCTATACACACACACATACACACACACACACACACACACACACACACACACACACTTTCAGATTGTAGCATGTTAGAAGTGGGGTGCTGAATGGTTAATACCTTAACACAATAATATGAACCCTTGCTAAGTTGGATACTATGACATCAGAATAAAGGAGATTTCTAGGTTTATGGTAGTTTATTTTAAGTGAAAAAGAATGAAAATGAAGGGGACTGAAGCAATATAGCTCTAACTTTGTATGAGTATACATCTCTCTCTAAATTAACTGTAAATGACCACACTTATGCGAAAACATCTAGCACTTTCCATGCCTCCTTTGTTCACTGGACTCCCTGCCTAGAGGAGCCCCTCTCCTTATTTTCTGCAGTCCCGCCTTCTCCCTTAACTCCTCTGTCCTTCAGAAGGAACCCCCTTCCCATCTCTGACTCCTGGGGCAGGCACAGAGCCCTCTGCCTCGGGTGTGCTTCACTGATTATGCATCTTTGTGTATCTAGTACCCCAATTACACCACATATTTCAAGAGATTACCTTTATTATATTTGTTCACCCCACACACAGTGCTCTGAGCTGAAGACAGGTAAAATGTATTCATTGTAACCCTGTGTACAGAAGCAAGGGCTATAAAATTTATCCTTTTTGCAGAAATCTTCAGAGGAAGAAGCCAGTGAACTTCTGCAGACTAGATCCGCAGATTAAGTAGAATTTTAAGGTAACAGACTTGGTTTCCTGGAAGAAATAAGTTGCATAATTTGCTGATCCACTGTGTTCTTCATGAAAAATAGTTAGAGCGCACACGAGAGACAGGAGCCAGGAGCACTGTGGCACTGTGGGCTTTTGCAGAGAGGCTGCAGGGCGGGCGCAGCCCCAGGAGGGCCTGGGGTGGATCTGGGAGTGAGCACGCCGAGCTGTGGATAACAGCTCCCTCACAAGGACCTCCAGGAACAGACTTGGGGCTCTTTAATAAATATTCCAGAGTCAAGCTTTCCTGGAAAAAACAAATTAATGTGAGGAGCCAGTACCAGGCAATTTCAGTTTTAAAAATAGCCAGCATTATGAAGCCTGCAGTGGGCTTGTGGGCAAAAGAAAGTCCTTGTTAATATTTGCCTCAGCGTCCCCCACTGGAACCCAGAAGCCACCCTGGAACTCTCACCTGGCAGACCCTGAAAGGTTATAGTGGTTTTATTGCTTAGAATCACTTTTTGGTTCTTCCCATGACAAGGTTTTTAGGAGGAGAAGGGATTTCTCCCCTTTTTACCAAGTCAGGATTTGGTGGAGGACTGCCAGGTGACACTCCGCCCATCTCCCTGGGGACAGAGCTGTTGTCCCTCTTCACTGCTGCTCTTTGCTGGCCTAATTGCTCTGCAAGGCTGGCAGGGATGTCCCTGCAGCCCCATGGCTGTGCTGACTGCAGAGACCCTACCTGGCACCGCAGCTTGGTGCGTCAGCACTCTAGGTTGGAATGAATGAGAAATCAATCAGCAGGACTGCAGCGGTGGCTTGCTCAGTTCTAGCCTAGATTGTCCATCATTTTCTACTGGTCACCCTAGACTTGAACATGCTTAGGATGGTAAGTGAATCACAACCCACACGCTGCTGCTGCTGCTGCTGCTGCTGCTGCTGCTTAATTGGGCTTTTGTTGTTGTTGTTCTGTTTTCAATTCACAGCAAGCAAATCTAACAGGCTCACACGTAAACTGAATGTTGATGTTAAGTTTCATGCAATTATCTTTCATTTGCCCTGCTTTAACAGCCAACTGTTTTTAGACCAAGTGATAGCCATTAACATAGAGAGATATTTCACTTACTGTCTTACTAACTTTACTCCAAATTCAGAGGGCTAATTTTTGTAAAGCTTGGTATTTTTACGAGCCTATGTCCTTCCCACATCTTTCTGGAACTTGTCATTCTTTGTGTCAAAGCCAGCGTGTTCGAAATTGCTGGATTCACAGTTCTGCCAAGACAGAGTTAAACACTATTTGGGCTCTGGCTGCCTAATGGGAGCTGAAATTGTTCAAAGCTGCTGTCTTTTTCTCTCGGGGAGCTACAGTAGCTTTCTGGACAGACTGGGTTAAATATCCGTCCAGACCCATTGCAGGATGATAAGGCGGTAAGAAGTTGTGCAGTGCTACCCTCAGGCTCCAGAGCTCACGGCTCTCTCTGTGTGGTGTCCACACAGTGAAGAAGACCTCCGGGCTGTGAAGATGCGGAGCCTGCTTCTTCTGGTGCTGATTTCCATCTGCTGGGCTGACCACCACTTGGACAGCTACACTCCGACTCAGGACAGAGTCATTCACATCCAAGGTAAGAAAGCTGCCTCTCCTATGAACGTCGGATTAATTTCAAGTTTCTTATAGCTGGGATGCTGGGCTCGTGTTACTTCTGCTGCGTTAACTTTTTCTTTCCCTTTTTGTAATTGCTGAGCACTCTCCCTGTCTTTTGAGTGTTCCTGCCTTAGAAGAGAGTTAAGACCTGGGGACAACCACAGCTCACAGCTGAACGGCTTAAGAATGTCCCACCCCAGTGAGGGGATGCAGGGGAGTTCCGTCAGCTTCTGTCTTCAAGCAGAAGGCAGGGCATGAAGTTCATTGAAATGCACAGAAGGGCAAAGAAATAAGAAGTACAGCTTGGGGCGTTGGGTCATTCTGTTGCCGTGTGTGGTCATTAGGAAAACAATACATACAACAGGAACATCAAACAAGCAATACCCGGGAACAAGGAGCTTACCCTGTTGTAGTCTCCTTCAGGAAAGCGTGAGTTCCAATATTCTGGTCCTGCCCATTTCCGTTGAGCTCAGCTGAATCCTCAGCCAAGCTCTGTAGGGAGGTTGGCGGCTGCAGTAGGCTGCAGGTCTCTCCTCCAGCCAGCTCTGCAGGGCACGGACGCCCTGTGCTAAGACAGCTGAGAGATTCAAGCAGTAAGAAAAGGCTGTTCTCACGAGCCTGCTCTCCTGCCCTTGCCTGCTGAATAATTCAAACACAAATTATAGAATTGAGCAATTTACACATATAAGGATATTAATTTTAGATAATCTCAGTTGAGGGCACCAGAGGCCTTCTAAGTTCGCTAAGAGACATAAAACACCAAGTTGTGCAGTCAAGGTCAAAAGTGTAGTCACAGAAACCAGCATTCGCTGTTGAAGTGTGTGGTGTGGGAAGGTCGACTGATAGTGCAAACCTGGCTGGAAATGTCTCCCCGTTTGCTATGTGAGTAGCAAATAAACACAATTTTGTCTAATTTAGACATGTCTCTTTCAGGTTTGTTTGCTTCCAGTAGTTTTAATTTTTCACTATTGAACCATGAAGAGAAATTATATAATCGTAAATTGTGTGGCGCAAGCTGCTGACTCAGCTACTTCCTTGTGTAGAGTAAAGCTAGCGCTGTTTCTGGAGACGGAAAGGTGTCTATACACCGAGAAAGTTGCTGGGAAATAACAGCATTTTACTTTCTGGCCATAGAACTCAGTGCAGTCCAAATGGGAATCCTGAATTCAGGAATAACAGCAGTTTTAAATGTAATATAAAATAGACTTTAAATTTGTGTAACGGTGACTTCTTCAAGCTTTCAGCAAATATTCAAGGTAAATTACAGAATATGTACAAGCCACCTAGCCCACATTGTACCCAATGTATGAAAATATTATTTTAAAAATGCACCAGCATTTTGAAAACGACTCCTGTACATAAGGTTAAAGTTGTCTCATTGAAGAAAATTGCTGGGCCCATCCTCCTTCCCCATTCTGCTTTTTGCAATTTAGTGTAAAGATGCTTCTGACCCATGGGTCGGGATTACCCAGATGATTTGCATACACTGCCCAGCGTTTTCCAAATGCCCTGACAGTCCACTTCATTTTAATTGTAAATGCACATTCTTAGAAAGTGTAGGCTTGCCCTGGCGCGCTGCTCATGGCTTGCAAGTGATAGTGCGGTAGAGCCCACACTTGCCTGTGCAGATTAATACTGAAATATGTGTTGGATCACAGGAGGGCGCAGTTACATCCATCAGACAAGGTTTATTTTATCTATCTATTTATTTATTTATTGCGATACTGGGGATTGAACTCAGGATCCTGTGCTTGCCAGGCAAGCGCTTATTCTACTGAGCTATCCTCCCGGCCCCTAGAGTTTATTTTAGAAGAGTTCCATATACCTGTATTCTTTTCCCCAATATCTTTTTTCACTTTGCCTTTGGGATAGGGTTCATACTGAATTTTCAAAATTCTGAGTCCTTCAGATAAGCTGTTTCCACATGGATTGTGTGATTTCAGTTGCTTTTATGATGTAAAAATAAATAATGTAGCAATGAGAGAATCAAGAAATCAGATGCTTTCATCACTTTATTAAAATGTTAGGCTGTCACCTCATGCATAAAAATATTTACTTACTAAACATGGCCCAGAAGCAATTTACGGAAATTAAAAAATCTCCAAGAATTTTATAGGAATTTGTATTCAGGTGATAAAATTAGCCATCTAAATCTTGAATTCCTGAGTTGTAATGCTGAGAGTATGAACTTCTCTTAGGTATTGAGCAGTAATCAACATTCATTACATTGCAAAAATGCCCTTCAAAAAATCACATCATTTTTCATTAAATTTCTATTTTTGTACTCTAAGGTGCTTAGGCATAAATAATATTGTGGGAATAGTGCGTTTGTCATCCTCACAGTTTCTTTGGCTGTTTTGATACAGATCTTCAACATTTTGATAATTCATTCTGGAGTTTCAAGTGTGAGAGTTACCTAGTTACTACTTCTCAGCTTTGTTATAGGGGATTGTAGAGAGATGTAGGAATACAAATACTTACTTAATATGGCTATAAAGGAAGAAGGAGAAAGGAAGAAAGGAGCAAAGAAGGAGGGAGGGAGGGAGAAAGGGAGAGAGGGAGGAGCAAGAAAGAAAGGAAGCAACGAAAGAGAAAGAAAGCAAGAAAGAAAACAAAGGCAGGAAAGAAACAAAGGAAGGAAGAAAAAGAGAAAGATGGATACAGGTAGCCAAGAGCGCAAACGGCACACGTAGATCACACACAAGGTGTTGCCAGTGAAAAATGTTTTTCTGAAATGAAAAGAGAAAACTGCCCTACTGCCCCACACAGATTAATAAAATTTCACATGCACTAAATTACTATCTTTAGATTTTGTTGAAATATTTTGGTTACACATGAGGTACATTTCACACAGACACCGTATGGTAGGAATATGCAAGCATGGCACCAGTTTCTGTATCTTACACTGTCCTCAATGTAGGGGAGAGTGATGTTCTCAAGGATTTCTACCAAAGAGCAGCTCCTGAGAATACGTGTGCAACTGCCGGAATTCACTTCAGTGAATTACAGTCCCCAGGTCAGGATGTGCCTGCCCCCTCTGCCCTCCTTTACTTTGAAATGTGACACCACCAGGAAGGGATGTGCTCAGAGCACCAAGACACACAGAAAGACAGTAGTCTAAATGTTTGGTTTTGTTTTTGTTTTTTAAAATTAATTTTATTGAGAAAAAATTGCAATGAGACAGCTTCAAAACAGGTTGGTAGGAGAATTATAACAATTAATACATTGCACATTGCTGTCTTTGTAGTAGTCACTCATAGCATAAGATGCAGACATAATATCCTGTCCAAACACTATTAGTAGAAATCCTTCTTATTGAATTAAGAGAAAGTAGCTATATATCTATCCTAACTATTCTGCATATACAGATACAAAATTGTCCTTCATTTATATCTCCTTTTTTTATTTAGTTTTGTCAGAGGTGGGTATTTCATTGCCATCCAAATATTGTAGGAGCATGAATTCAGCAAAATATTCCAACATAGTCAAGTAGTACACAGTAGTAGTGGGTTATCCACAGGCCTGGCAATGTCCAAATTTGTTGACTTGAGCCTTCCACGGCTCTGCATATTAGCATGGCTTCACTTTTCCTACCTCATTTCTACACTTTTCTGCTGGATGGTTAAGACCGAGATATAGCAAGACCTATATAAAATGAAATGTAACTTTTGTATGTGACAAGGTCAGTCAAATCCCCTCAGGATTTATACTGAAACTCTCTACCACATTTTGTAGATCCTTTGTCAGTGTCAGCCATGTGGATGAGTCATGGCCATTGCTTGACCAATTTGCTCTCTGAGAAAGCCTGAGAGAATGTTTTCTCTCCATGTGACTCTCCTTAGGCACACATTACATCAATGATCACATTCCTCTGTGGCCCCATAATCTCCTTGATCAGAAAATTTGGGACACAACTGAGTTACATGATGTTACAGTATAGGTTCTCCTATGTCCTGAGTCCTCACTGACCTTGAAAGGCTAGAGCCAAAATGTTGGCTGTTCTTGCAGCCCTTCTATTTCTCTAATTTTTGGTCGACAAACTTAGGTTGTTAACTCTCCAGAAGAGAAGCTTATTATTGCCCTACAACATATGCAGTTGGAATCAGCCTCAGACACTTGTGTGGAGTTTCAATCGCAAGTCTTGGTGGAGACTTTGAATTGACAGCAGAATTTCAGAATTGATGACTGCATGTCTTTAGTACAATGTTTAAGGGGGCATTTACAGAGAGCAAAGAAGATTCATGACTCTTGGCATGGGCGAAGTAATTATAGTTGCACAGAACTCATAACTAAACTTATCAAGCTCAGAGAATCAGTGCTTCCTACACCTGGGTTTAAACACACAATTTCTGATCAACTTGAATCTTTCTCCTGCCCCCATCCTCAGCCTCGGCCTTGGAACATTTACTTAAGCTCTTCAAGTCTCAGCTCTATCACACTGAAGGCTTACTTTATTCCCTGCCCATTTCTGAAAGCACCATGACAATGCAGTGAAGTGTACATGAGAACACCCAGTGAGCCAACTCAGCGCACAGGAGGCACCCAGCACATGACAGTTGATGTCATCACCATTGTTTCTTCCTTACTGTCACAGAAAACAGATTTGCCCACACATGGGGGAACATTTTCAAAATATATTTGTTGGCAAAACTGTATCATTGTTTCAGTTCTAGTCAATGTTTTGTGTTGTCTCTCTGTCTTAAATTTCACAGTGGGAAGTTTCCCCAAGATTAGACATCACTGAATCACTACTACTTTCCTTGTAGAAGCAGAAATGCCTTTCAAACTTCAGCAATGTTTTCCTTTAATATTCTTAGTAGGTGAGTGCAG